TCGAGGGTTTGGGAAATACGCGTTATTGGACACTCGAGCATATAAGGGCGAACAGTCTTAAAATTGTTTTGTTGTTGTTGTTGTTGTTGTTGTTGTTGTTGTTGTTGTTGTGGTTGTCGTCGTCGTCGTCGTCGTCGTCGTCGTCGTCCGTCGTCCGTTGTCGTCGTCGTCGTCGTCGTGTCGTCGTCGTTGTTGTTGTTGTTGTTGTTGTTGTTGTTGTTGTTGTTGTTGTTGTTGTTGTGGTTGTTGTTGTTGTTGTTGTTGTTGTTGTTGTTGTTGTTGTTGCTGTTGTTGTTGTTGTTGTTGTTGTTGTTGTTGTTGTTGTTGTTGTGCTTGTTGTTGTTGTTGTTGCGACGGCTCATGCTTCGACGCGGGTTTCCCCAATTGTGCGTGTAGCAGGCTGGTCTTTCATGCTGTGCAATGCTTAGGGACAATCTGTTGGGGGCCTGTGCGGAGCGGTGCTGCCCGACTCAAAGGGGTGCAGCAGTCCGCGCGTGAAGGCGAGGACCATGCGGTGGTCCAGCTGGCCGAGCCTGCTTTCAGCACCCTCTCTGTGCAGATTGATTGTCCTGCGTCCGTCTCGTGCTGCCAGACAAGCCCTGGGCCTCACGTGCTCGCGCGAAGCCTCGCTCACATCTTTGGAGGCGGTGTCGTTCGCGCGAGGACTTTGTATATATATATATATATATATTGAGGATGTCGTGCACGTGAGGGCCCGCACCTCGGTTCGAGCGGTGCAGGCAAGTCAGATCTCCCCTTCTCAGCGTGAGCGGAACGCCCTTGCCGACCAGTGGGCCAAGAGGGGTGCAACCCTGGCCCGCACTGCCCCCGACCAATTGGGCACCACCTCAAGTGGGTGCGCAGGAGATGGGTATGCCAGCGGTGTCGTCAGGCGCACGCTGCGCGACCCCCTTTCTGGGCTGTCCAGTGCCCTGGACACAGCGCGGTACTCAGCGCGCCTGCTGCTGAGCCGAGAGGGCACGCGATCGTCGGCGCCACGCCTCGCGGCATTCTTTTCGTATGCAGGTAGTGCGGCTGCACTTCAGGAGGTTTGCGGGTGGATAAGCTCGGTGCGACTTGCAACAACCGACGCCAGTGCTCGCACGCTGTCGAAGTATAACCGTATCCGCAAAAAGGCAACATCTGTCCCATACACGTGGGAGCGCAGCGGCCCTTGATGAACTAGTGCGGGTCACCGGCACTAGTTCGTCAAGGACTGCACGACCTTTTCAAAGGCGGCCTTTACAACAAGTTGCATTTCACTGCACTGCAGGACTAGTTCACAAGGCGGCCTTTTTGTAAGGACTGCACGACAGGACTGGTATCCTACGCCGCCTTCACAAACAAGTCGTGCACTGCACGACTTTTTGTAAAGACGGCGTGGGGCAATAGCTAGCACTGCTAAGCGCAGCCCCTCACTGAAAAGAGTAAGGAAAAGATGAGGAGGACATGAAACTGGCCTGCCTCCTAGGGCTGCGGTGGAACCGCTGTGCGGGATGAAAAAAACGCCATCGCCACCAGTCGCTATCGTCTGGGACAGACGCTGTCGGGGTCAGCCCACGCCGTTGCAGCCCCGCTGGGGGCCACCGAGGACCAGCAGGCACGGAAGGCGATGATGGGGGTCGGAATGAGTCTGGGAATGTAGGAGGGCGGTGGGCTGTATGCATCCCATTTGAAGAAAGAAGCCTCTCTGCACGTGCTCGTCGCATGTGCGGATCGGCCAGCACGCTTAAATCTGAGGATAGGCCGGTACACCCAGAACGTCGAGGAGTTGGCAAGCGTAAGGTCCGGCAGCAGCATGTTGGGTGGCACGAAATCTCTGTATTTCGTGTTCTCCGTCTCGGTCCCCGTTCGTCCGACGGCTGGGACGCTTGGGGGTGGGGGAAGCGGTGGCGACGGGTTGGCTCAGAAACTCGGACCTCGAGCTTTCGATATTCTGGGAGGAATGGGGAGTGTGAGGAAGGCGGCGACGAGCTGGGGAGGGGAGTGGGGAGTGGGGAGTGGGGAGAAGTGGAGGAGGAGGAGAGTGGTGGGGGTGTGGGGGAGTGGAGGAGTGGGGACTGGGACGCTTTGGGGAGCGGGGAGGAGTGGAGGCTCGGTCCTCGCTCCTCCGAGGTCTTGGACGCCTGGGGGGTGGGGAATGTTGTGGCGGCGACGAGCCTGTCCCGAAGCTCGGCCCGCGCACCTCCGAGGTCTGTGTGACGCCTGCTCCTCCTCCTCCTCCTCCTCCTCCTCCTCCTCCGGGGCAGCGGCGGAAAAGAGCTGACACCCGATGTAAAACTGCAACAGTGTGGACCACTGCCAAGGCAAGGTGTTTGCCCCTCTTGGGCTGCCACCCCGCAGGGCCCAGGGCTTGTGAGGGTCACCTGCGGGCGTGGCGTGGGGAGGGGGTGGAGGCCAGCGGGCGAGATGGTGAGGTGAACATCGCCAGGTGCTCCGCACTATGCACCTCATCAGCGTAGTTATCCGCCATCCCCCGTTTTAGGCCACGAGGTTGGTACCCCATTCATCGAAAAAGCACCACAAGTTGGCTGACGAAGGGAACCGCCCGTGCCCTAAGTGACAGCCGTGACTATCCTCCTCTTCTTTCCTCCCTCTCTCCTCGCCTCTCCTCTCCCCTCCCCTCCCCTCCCCTCCTCTCCTCTCCTCTCCCCTCCTCTCCTCTCCTCTTCTCTCATCTCCTCTCCTCTCCTCTCCTCTCCTCTCCCCTCCTCTCCTCTCCTCTCCTTTCCGCTCCTCTCCTCTCCTCTCCTCCCTCCCTTCCGCCCTCCTCCTCGTCCTCCCTCTCCTCGTCCCCCTTGCCTCCTCCGCTTGACGCTGACGCTGGCCACGGGTCTGTATCGCCAGGATTGCCCTCCTCCGCCTTCTCATCCTTCTCGCTCCCTCCCACCTCAACCTCTCCCTTTCATGCCCAGTGCGCCGCCGAGAGAATCAGATAATCAGAGGGAGTGAGGGAGGGAGGGAGGGAGAAAGAGAGAGAGAGAGCCGTTAAACAACACGCACACACGTATACATACATACACGCGTGTATATATATATATATATATAGAGAGAGAGAAAGAGGGGGGGCCTACAGCGACATATATGTGTACATACATATAGAGGTCGACATACATAGATGCAGAGGGAGCGATACGCATGCAGGGAGGGCGAGGGAGGCAGGGGAAGAGGGGGCATACATACATATACATACACATATATACATATATACGCACATCAAGTTATAACACCATTTATAAACACACATATGTGGATACATATATATATATACACATATATATACCGACTATCATGCACATCTGTATTTCTATACGTATATATACATATATATATATGGTGAGAGAGAAAGCAACGTGACTTTATTTACTCTATGTAGAAAGAGGGAGAGAGAGACACAGGGAGAGAGAAAGAGAGAGGGAGAGAGAGAGAGTCAGAGAGAGTGAGATATATATATATATATAGAGAGAGAGAGAGAGAGAGAGAGAGAGAGAGAGAAAGAGAAAGAGAAAACGAGAGAGAGAGTGAGAGAGAGAGAGAGAGAGAACGAGAGAGAGGGAGAGAGAAACAGTAAGAGAGAGAGAGAGAGAGAGAAACAGTAAGAGAGAGAGAAACAGTAAGAGAGAGAGAGAGAGAGAGAGAGAGAGAGGGAGAGAGAAAGGGGGGCCCGTCCCCGAGGCGATAAGGGGCGTCGTCATCGCCGTTGGCGTCCTCCTCTCCGTCCTCGGTGTTGGCGCGCGAAGGAGGGGCGGCGAGCGGGGGGGGGTCGCGCTGGGAGCTGAGCTCCAGCGGGGGCTCGGGGGGGAGGGGCGGGGCCCCTGCGCCGGTGCCTGTGGGTGGAGCATCGGGAAGATGGGCAGCGGGAGGACATGCAGGGGGCTCGTCAGGAGGCACATCTTCAGGAGGCTCTCCAGGAGGCTTCAGGAGGTAGTTCCTCAGGTACATCCCCAGCTGGAAGATCTCCAGGTACAGATTCAAGAGGATCGTCGTGCAGATCTTCGGGAGGTTCGCGCCGCGTTATCCAGGGGGTACATCTTCAGGTGCATCGTCAGGAGCGTCTTCAGGTACATGTTCAAGAGGCTCAGCAGGCAGCTTTTCAGGAGGAGCAGCTGCAGGAGGCTCTGCAGGAGGCTTCAGCAGCTACTTCTTCAGGTACATCCTCCACAGGAGGATATTCCGGTACATCTGCAAGAGGATCGCCAGGGAGATCTTCCGGATATTCGTGCCTTGTTCTCTCCTGGAGGTACATCTTCAGGTACATCATCAGGTGCATTTTCGGGTGCATCTTCAGGAGGCTCATCATGAGGCTTCAGGAGGTATTTCCTCACGTGCATCCTCGGCAGGGAGATCTTCAGGTACATCTTCGAGGGGTTCGTCGAGGAGAACCTCATGACGTTCTCCAGTATGAGCTTGTTATCCAGGTTGGCGCGGTTGCGCTCGCGGTGGAGGCGGGTCCGGGAGACCTTGTGGGCGGCGCGCGGGCGGTTGGGTGCGCGTCGGAGCTCTCCCGGAGAACCGCGGCGGGTGGTCCCTGCCAGCTCCAGTGCGTCGCTGCCTCGCCGAGCAAGTCCGTTGCGGGCGGGCGCCGGGCAGGCGTCCCCGCCGTGGCGGAGACCCTCGATGTGTGCGTTTTTCCGCGCGCGCTCGCCGTCGGTGTCGGGCGCTGTGCGTCGAGGGTCTGCCGCAGAAGTCGCGCGGCGGGGCGAGTGCGGGCGGAGGGGCCGCGGCGCGCGCCGGCGGAGGGTGAGTGGGCGACTCGGTTCCCCGCGGAGCGGGGTTGCAGTCTCACCGCGTGAAGACGTCGCCAGGGCTTTCAGCCTCAGAAGAGGCTCGAGCCAAGACTAGAGAGAGAGAGAAAGAGAGAGAGAGAGAGAGAGAAAGAGAAAGAGAGAGAGAAATATAGATGGATAGATAGATAGATAGATAGATAGATAGAGATAGAGAGAGAGAGAGAGAGAGAGAAAGAGAAAAAGAGGGGGAGAGCGAGAGAGAGAGAGATGGAGGACTTCTACCAGCAGGAGAAGCTGCTCGGCCAGGGTTCCCACGGGAAGGTGATCAAGGCCACCGCTCAGCTCCTTGTCTCGTCCAGGCGTCGTGCCGGCGAGGCGCCGCCATGCTGGCTGGCGTCCCTCCGTTCCGCCTTCGTCGTCGTCGTCGTCGTTGTCGTCGTCCACCTCCTCCTCATCTTTCGTTGTTCCTCCTCCTCATCTTCGTCCTCGTCCTCGTCCTCCGCCGTCCGTCGTCGTCGTCGTCGTCGTCGTCGTCCTTCTCCCTCTCCGCCGCCTCGTCCCCGTGCTCCGTGCTCCATTGTCTTCTCCTTGTCCTTCCCCTCGCTTCTGCTCCCGCTCCCGTGCCTCGTTGTCGTCGCCCCCCAGCGCCCGTGCTCATCGCGGCTCGAGAGCGGCCTTCGCGAAAGCCGGGGCCGGCGGCTCCCGCCGCAGCTTTCCGACGGCGTGGCTGTGTCGAGCTGGCATTGGCAGGGTTGGTCGGGCCGCCCTGGCTGCCAGCCGCGTCGGCGAGGTCGTGATTATGATGGCCGCGATGACCTGGGGCCATCACGAGGGTGCGAAGTTAATCGCTCGTCGTGCTTCGCGCTTTGGGTGATTCGAGACGCAGCAGCGGCAGCATCAATGAAAAGACGCTGAGACCCGGGGTCGATTGCGCGGACATCGCGGGTCAGCCCGATGGGTGGCGGGGGCAGGGTGGGGGTGTAGAGTTCGGATGTAACCGCGGTATACGGTCGCCGTGCTTTCTCGGGTAAGACCTTTTTTTCGCTTATTGTCCTTACCTTATCCCGGGCGCCACCCATGTTCAGCGTTGCCACGTGCTAGACGGACAGGACCTGAGCCAAGAACCGACAACATGGCGGACATGTTGTGGATGACGTATCATGTCGATGAAGAGGCAGCGTGGAAATGACCAGCCTGGCATACCATGCGGGCCAAACATGGCTACGACCTGGACGTGCGAGACATGTGCCCAAAGGGCGTTGCGGCGATGCTACACAGGGAAGTGCAGTCTAAACTCCGGGAGGACGGCCAAACAGGAGCAGTAGTTACAACTGTCTGGCGCAAACACCATACCCGGCGCCGGCGGTGTCGCAGCGGAAAGCGAGAGGCTTCCAGAAACACGCGAAGAACACGGGCAAGAAGGGCGGCAGCTGGACCGCTGGACCATGAGCAAGCTGTGCGAGTGCAACACCGTTCCGACTGTGCTTCGGCTGTGGGCAAACGGTGGGCACACCACATCACACATTATATTTATGCATGCATGTATGCATGTATACATAGAGACACATATACGTATACATGTATGCATATTTATATGTATACGTTTATATTTATGCGCAATTGTCTATATACACGTATACGTTTATGTGTATATATATGCATACATATGTGCATGTTTATTGTGGCGCGTGTGTTTATATACATATAGATATGTACGCATGGGTATGTGTATATGTACATGCTTATGTACATGTATATGCATATATTTCGGTAACTGTATCCGTGTGTACATGTATATGTACATATTTCTGTATATGTACATGTGGGTTTGTATGTATATGCGTGTGATTGTGTTCATTTTTATAGTTTTGTTCATGTGTATGTATATGTATATGTATATGTATATGTATGTATCTATGTATATGTATATGTATGTGTATGTGTGTGTATAGCTGCATCTCTATAGGTTTATGCATATTTTATGCCGATGTACATGTAAATGTGTGTGTATGTGTATAGGTATATGTATAATTGTATGTATGCTCGTATGCATGGGTATTTGTAAATGTTGACGAAATTGAGTACGTATCTGTGGATGTATATGTCTATGTCTATGTATATGTATATGTATATGTATATGTATAGGTGTATCGATACGTATTTGTGTATGCATATGTACACATATGTGTATATGTATATGTATTTGTTTTGTGCATATGTATATCCACATCACAGACGGTACGATTCTTCAGCATTGCGAGAGCAATGTTTACAGGCGCAGGCAGACTGGCAGCGAATGGCGGAGCAGCGGGCAAAACATTTCTCGTGGACAAGGGGCTTCGCGAGGTGCCCCAGCGCGGATTGGCATATCATCGGGATTAAAGCGCAACAGTACCACGGCGAAGCAAAAGAGGTGGACGATATCCACCTCACTGGGGACATCGTGTCCCCAGGCTACAACGAGTGGGCGCAGACGGGTTGGGCAGCCATGCCGATCAACGACGCTAGGGAAGCGAAGGTGCAGCTGTGGGGGCTTTTGCCGTGCACGCTCCCGGTGCATTTTTTTTTTTCTCCTCCAAAAGGTCTTGAAGAACGCTTTCCCGCCCTGCAGGATCTACACGGACCACAAGGGGGTCGTGAACTGATTGCAGAAGAACGAAAGTGGTGTACGAACAGGAAAACGCCCCACGCAGACCTGTGCAGGCGCATCTGGCAAATAGTGAAGGACTTGGACCTGGACGTCGGCGAGGTGTTCCACGTCAAGGCGCACATGTCCAAGACGTTCATCGAGCAGCTGCAGGGCGAGGGGTTCAGGGCCGCTCGGGGCAACGGAGTGGTGGACCTGCTGACCAAGAATGCGCGGAGGAGGACGCGAGCTTTGGCAAGCAGCAGACCGTGGAAGAGCTGGGCCCAAAGGTGGGCTGTGCGGTGCAGGATGCGGGCTGTTGGTGCTGGAGGATTGGTGTAGACTGGCCTGGCGTGCTCAAACGGGAGCCGGAGCGGCCTCGTAGGGGCATGCCCAAGCCGAAGGCCACGCTCGCGAGGTACGAGGTGGAGCGGACGGGCAACTGGATCGTGTGTTCGATGTGCGGCAATCGAGCGGCATCGAAGCGCATGGGGAAGAAACTGCGGGAGTCGGAGTGCCAGCCACCGCCGTGGATATCGACGGGGGCAATCAGGGCGGGAGCGTCAGGTTCACCTGAGGCGTGTGTTGCGATAGCGGCGGCAGTGAGCGCAGCCGCCAGTGAACGACCAAACACAGCGACGTGGGCAAGATGGAGCTGGCCAGCCCGGCGTGCGCGAGCACTGGGTTGAGGTGCATGGACCATGCGCCGTGTGAGTGATCTGCGGGGCTCATTTGGCAAGGAGGAGTGCAGGGCTCGGGACGCCATGCCCAGAATTACCTGGAACAGCGCGGCAAGTCTAGCAAGGACGACGCCATGAGGAAGACGCGTGTGCCAGTTCTGCCAGCAGAGCGAGGTCAACGTACTGGGCCACGTGGTGGACTGCGGCGAGCTGCGGGGGCGGGCCGAGGAGGCCTGATGCCTGATTCAGTGCCGCTGGGGCGCGGCACGCGGGCCTTGTGGCGGGATCCGCTTGGGGAAGACACCTCTTGGCGGCCTCCTGGCGGCCTCTCGGTGGCTTCTTAGGGGGAGGGGGGTGGGCCGGTGACGGCCTCTCTCGCGGGAAAGTGACAAAACAGGCTCCATCGTCGCCATCGCCCTCGCCGTCGACGCTATCGCCGCCGTCGTCGACGTGCGTCGTAGCTGCCGTCGTCATCATCGTCGTCGTCGTCGTCGTTCTCGCCGCGAGCAAGGCCGCCGCGGCCAGCGCCCGTGGCACCACCGCGGAGGGCTGGCTGAATTCGCGGGGGGTGGCGGTGAAGGCCCGTGGCGCGCGGGGCGCCCGCCATTGCCCCCGGCTCGCGAGGGGAACGCTGCAAACCCCGTGCTCGAAGTTCGGCCAGCGTCAACAAGCAAGTGGATGAGGTGTCGGGAGGAGGAGGAGGAGGAGGAGGAGAAGGAGGAGGAGGAGGAGGGTGATGATGATGATGATGATAATGATGATGATCATGATGATGATGATGATGATGATGATGAGGATGACGATAATGATGATGACGATGAGGATGATGATGCTGACGATCATGGTCATGATCACGATGATGATAGCGATCATGGCGATGAAGCTGACGATGGTAATGGTGATGATGATGATGACGATTATGGGGATGCTAATGAGACTGCCGCTGGTGATTGTGGTGGTGATGATGATGACAATTGTGATGGTGATGGTGATAGTGATGATGCTGATGATGATGCTGACGATGATGATGATGGTGACTACGATGCTGATGATGGGGGTGATGATGACGATGACGATTATGATGATGATGATGATGGTGGCTGCTGGTGATGACGATGCTGCTGCTGATGATGATGATGATGCTGATGCTGATGATGCTGATTATGATGATGATGGTGGTGGTTGTGGTGGTGATGATTATGATGTTGGAGATGATGCTGATGGTGCTGCTGATGATGCTGATGACGATGATGAGGATGATGATGATGATTCTGATGTTGATGATGATGATGATGATGATGCTGATGCTGATGATGATACTGCTGATGATGATGATGGTGCTGATGATGATGACGATGTTGCTGATGATGCTGATAATGATGATGATGCTGATGCTGATGCTGATGCTGCTGATGATGCTGATGATGCTGCTGCTGATGATGCTGATGTTGGTGCTGATGATGACGATTATGCTGCTGCTTCTGATAATGATGATGCTGCTGCTGATGATGATGGTGATGATGATGATGACGATGTTGTTGATGATGCTGCTGATGATGTTGATGATGATGATGTTGTTGATGATGATGACGATGATGATGATGATGGTTATGATGATGCTGCTGATGATGATGCTGATGATGATGCTGATGATGATGGCGGTGGTGGAGGTGATGAGGATGAATATGATGATGCTGATGATGATGATGATGTTGAAGAAGAAGATGATGATGATGATGATGATGATGACGCTGCTGCTGATGATGATGGTGGTGCTGATGATGCTGATGATGCTCATGATGATGATGCTTATGATGATGATGATGATGATGATGATGCTGATGATGATGATGATCATGACGATCATGGTGATGATGCTGCTGATGATGATTATGCTACTGACGATGATGATGATGCTGATGCTGATGATGATGATGCTGATGACGATGACAATGATGCTGATGATGATGATGATGATGATGATGACGATGATGATGATGATGATGATGATGATGAT